GTTTGAATCAGAAATATCGCATGTTTGTGACAATTTTCAATAGTTTCTGTTATCCAAAATACTATATATCGATACGCATTATTTCCACTGAAGCCTGTGAGTAAATCAAATGCCAAGGTCACGAAAGCGAATGCAAGTTCAAGGCCAACCCACCGATATATTTCAAAACGACTAATACGGCCACAGATCACCAATTATTGCCCCATTGACTTCAATGTTATTTCAAACTCATGTCACAAGCTGTTACTCTTTCCACATTATTCGTTGAGCTAATTCCTTCACAAGGCATAAACTATAGCACCTGGCAGTCATCTCCTCCGAAGCATGTATGAGGTTCTTCATGGAAATCTCAAATTAGGAAAAGTTAAAGTAGACTGGGGTCAATTCTGTACTTCCGGTTCAATGTGAGACGTCTTTCAAGCCCTTTTACCCATGTTATTCTTCCGCACAAATATCCTCTTTTCCCACCAAAACTGGCTAAATAATCAAAATTCAAAACCTTGACAACAATTCCACATCTAAAAAACCCCCAAAAAACGTCTGAAAAAGGGAGAAAAAAAATAAGGGAAAGTTAGTCTATTTTTAGATTGGGACTGTGTCCATACACAATTTCATCTCTCTACGACTGTTTGACCATGTGCAGACAGTGCTACAACGTATGAAACTCTCCTCGATGGTATTGTAACCGATAGTTCAATGGGGCAACAGTTTTCAGTTCCGAAGCGTTTATGCTTACATCCTAAATCCCCTCGTCGGAATTGTGCACTGCGCGGGCGCAAGCAATTTTAACTAAAATCTATTAAATTTGCATTTTAAGTTACAACCCATCTTCGTGAAACCGTAAAATTTAAAATTTCATTTTGATTTTAGTTAAAATCTATTTTAGTGATTTTAGTTTAAGTTTTTGTGAAACAGGGCCCTGGTCATCAGCTACAACTCTTAAAATTACCAAGCAAAACATTGATCGGTCAAACTTGGATAAATATATAAATAATGAAACTACCCCCACCCCCAATGGTGTTATCTTAATTATTAACGTTTCTTTTAAATTTGTGTTTAGACTTCAGCTCGTCGTGTCCTAATACAAGCTTTACTTGTCAAAATGGGGATTGTATTTCTATGGCCTTTTTCTGTGATTTTAAAGACGATTGTAATGACGACTCAGATGAAATTGGATGTGGTAATACATTTTAAAATACTTTATAAAGGCTATGACCCAGTTAACTTGCCAACGTTACAATATCGTTCCAATTGTTGTCATCCTTCACACAGTTTGATCTGAACTTATACATATAATGTCGATGATTATTGATTTAGGAATTATGACTTTCTAAACTTTTAATGAATTGAAGCTTAAAATGTCCTGTTTGTCCGAATGGCCACTCTTGTTTTATTATGTTAATCGAAATTATGCAATGAATTCCTCTCGCGTCAAAAGACATCGTAGATTTCTACATATCCCTACGGGGTTTAACTATATGTCACAACAGCACGCAAATATTTTGTGCTTCAATGTGGTCTTCAGTATTTATACTTAAACTTTAATAGAACACAATATGAAGTATAAATACAAAGCTCAAGCAATCAGTGTTCTTCTTAATATGAGTTCATCTAGCAGAATACATCTTAAATGCACCTATAAAGTCTCCTCGCAGCTGCTCTCCCGAACCTGCTGAAAGGCCCATATCGGAATGCCCAATGGTGTCTTGTGGAACATGGACCCCACATGCTACCTTGTTGGAATGGACAATTCTGGGTATAGACGTATGTGTAGATTGTTCGGCAAATGACGTATATGTGTCAACAATCAATATAAAGAAGAAATGATTTAATCAAAATGGTATGTTCACACGTCCTTTCATCTATAATCCCAAAGATGTGAACATGTCAAAATCATCTGATATAAATATTGATTTTGCTTTATGTCAGTTGAATGATTATAGACTGGAAATATTCATGGTCAGAAATGCGCTTTTTGTATGACTTGACGGATGACAAACTGGAATCTGTAATGGCGACGGTTAAGTCTACATATTTAAATTTAATCCAGCTTTACAGCCACAGAATAAAACAGGACACCATTTCGTAACACAAAACTGTAGTTAATAGGAGCCATGGTTCATCACTGATTCTGTTTACCTTATCAAGATATAACTGCATAGTGTCCAAAATTGCTGTGTAATAAATTTTAATGTGTTTATTTTTTGTTGAGTTAACAGTGCCCAGAAACTGTACAAATGATGAATGGAGATGTAATAATGGAGAATGTATATCATTCAACCAAAGGTGCAACGTGGTGATCAACTGCAAGGATGGATCTGATGAACATAGCTGTGGTGTGTATAACCCCTCCCCCCAACTCCTTCTACTACTAGTCTTCACAGCCATCTCTTTAGTTAGCCGAGAAGTCATGCACGATACATCCAGCATGTGTTTCCTCTTCTTTTAACACATAATACCATCTATTATATCGACAACCCATTTCTTTTTGTAAAACAAATTAATTTAATTTGCATTGCATTTGAGTGGCTAAGTGGGTAAGGCGCTGGCTCGCTAACCTGGAGGTCGGGTCTTCGATCCCTGCATTGGCTGAGAAAGTTCATCCAGATTTTCCGGCGTGATTCCCCCTTGTCAGTGATGCAGGACGGAGGGCCTGACAAGGCCAGCTGTCTAGTCGTTCGGAGGGGACGAAAAACCGAGGTCCCGTGTACACATTGGCGTGCACGTAAAATATCCCTTGATAGTTGGAATTGGATATAAGAGTAAGCCGTAGTCCCGCTGTCCGGGCAAAATTTCCCTCATAGCACACTGTATGGCGTATACCCGTCTTCATTAGCCCAGTTCGAAGCAGAACAGTAGGACGTTAAACCCCATTTCATTTCATTTAATTTCATTTCATTACATATGATTCATTTTATATTAAATTGGATTTATTTAATATTTATTGGATTTATTTTATATTAAACTGGATTTATTTTACATTAAATTGGATTTATTTTACATTAAATTGGATTTATTTTACAGATTTCTGCTCAGATGATTCGTTCCAATGTTATGATGGTACATGTATATCAAAACTTTGGTTGTGTGACAGCTACCTTGATTGCATGGGTTATACATATGAAGACGAATATTTTGATTGCCCAGATATGGACCACCCCTCATGTTTAAGTCATTATGAAAACGGAATTACCGAGAGGGATATATATAAAATCTATCCGATCAATGATGAAAGTGTTAGAGTAATTTGTGATTTTAGCGATGCTGAACATGTATTAACAATATTTCATCATTCGCAACAGGGATTGACATTAGTCAAGGAAGGCGGGTCTATAATGCTCGATTACCAGGTGAATATAGATGAAATAAGACACCTATATTCATCATGTGAGCAGTACATGAAACTTGAGTGTAAATATAGCGATAGTGTATCAAGTTCCATTAAAGTAATGGGAAACTTTACTAATATTGATAAAACTGGACAATCAAACGAAAACTGTTCATGCCTGTTATCAGAAAACTGTGTACCGGAACAACGGGGGTAAGTAGCTGTAATCATTCACGAAACGCGTTCAAATAGTAAACTATGGAATTCCCGAGGGCTCTATTCTTGGTCGTTTTTCTCGTTATATCAGGGATATGGTTCGGTACATTTTTGTACGTGGCTCAGCGGTAATCATTCAGATACTATATCTTACATTATCATTTACTACTATTTGAAGATACCACTGCCTTTACGCTAGATAATTAGATAATATAATCTTCACTAATGTTTCGTAACTTCTTTTGATTTCGCTACAGCTGCCGTTGTTCTAGTCCTTTGTCTTCATGGTACGATGTCAATGAACACGAATGGTTGGCTGATTCCGGATATTTACCGTGGCCGATAAGTGAATTAGGATTTGGAAATATGGCATCTTCAGACATGCCATCTGCTGGCACAAGGGTTACCGTTGGTCCCCTTGTCTGTAAAGAAGGTATTTGGTTATTTCTGTAAAACTTGCCCATACTTGTATAGTCTCATTGACAAAATATTTTATTCATTATTAAGTAATGCTAGTATAGAGTTACTAACCATGCCTAATCAAAATGGTTGGGTAGTATGCTCGTGGTAGGCAAATGAGTGTTCAAAGGTCCAGTTCTCTCAATAACACCAAGGGTAATGTGTTTAGTAGTTAGTATTGAACGAAAAGCCGAGTCCCCATTTAACAATTAGTACTGCATTTAATAGTAGGCCAAACACTGTAAATTTGTCATCAGAAATATAAAAATAACCAAATGAGACGTCAATCCGCCATTCTATAGCAATCGGAGATGTAAATCGATTTTCCTTTAAATAGATGTGAAATTATTAGCAGGACTGTTATTCAATGTAAATAAACAAACAAAACGCCTGTATAACCTGTAATATGAAATTGAAAATAAATAGGTTTAACGTCCTAATGTTCTGCTCCGAACTGGGCTAATGAAGACGGACGTGTAAAATGAGAGTTGCATCTATGTGCCTTTACTATTACAGAAAAACGAGTAAAGGCACATAGATGTAACTTTCATTTTACAGGTCTGTCTATTACAGAAAAACGAAGGGGACACGTGGCTAAGTGGGTAAGACGCTGGCTCGCTAGCCTGGAGGTCGGGTGTTTGATCCCTGCATTGGCCGAGAAAGTTCATCCCGATTTACCGGCGTGGTTTCCCCTTGTCAGTGATGCAGGACGGAGAGCCTGACAAGGACAGCTGTCTAGTCATTCGGATGAGGCGAAAAACCGAGGTCCCGTGTATACATTGAAATGCACGTAAAAGATCCCTTGGCAGTTGGAATTCGATATAAAAATAGGCGATAGTGCCGCTGCCCGGGCAAAATTTCCCTCATAGCACACTGTATGGCGTATGCCCGTCTTCATTAGCCCAGTAGAGGAGCAAAACAGTAGGACGTTAAACCCCATTTCATTTCATTTCACAGAAAAACGAAGAACAGAAAAGATTGTTTGTGATAATTCTGATGTTATATCAATATCACAGAAATGTCTTTTAACACCAGATGGACATGGTAAATTTAAAGGATGTCGAGATTTAACACACCTCTCTCACTGTGGTAAGTATTTTTGATTAATGGAATTGAATTTAAAGTCTCGCCAATATTTTATCTGTAAGGCCATTTTGAGACTTACAATGTTTTGCCAGTCGCCTTGACTTAGATTATAAGTAAAAAACCGTCAAAGACAATCAAACAAATAGATTAATTTGTTGTTGCCAAAGCGGGGACAGTAAAGGAGGAAATAGTTGATGATTTCCGTCTCGAAATTGACGAAAAACGGAAAACTTATTGTATCATATTTGGCGTAACTAATAATAATAATAACACATTGCAGCTGAACAACACGCGTTCATTCCCATTCTTAACCGATAGAAGCTGCTCATTTTTTTATCTACATTGTGTTTTATTCACTGCAATCACTAGCGTTCAAATGATAATCTATGAAAATTTGGCATGTTTGAATTAATTAATTGAGAAATCTTAATCTGAAAAGCTATACTATTCAAAAAAAGTAGGGGATATTTGATTTTGGGGGCATAATACTAAAATATGCAAATGACTACGAAAAAAGTCACTATAGAACCTAACAGAAGAAACATTTCCAGTTACATGTGACGCCCAAACGCACCAATAGCTACCGCATGGAATGCAGGTGATGCTTGGGATCATCATGGGGGTCCAACCCAAGATTTGCACGACTCTGACTTTGAATGTTACAGTCATTGTGGTATTGAATTCCAGGGTGGAAACATCAGTTTAATTGTTTTAGTGACCAGAAAACAAATTTTGATATGCGTCGGCTTACCCAAAATGAAAGGTTACGTGCTCTTGGCATGCTACAGATCGGCACAACACAGGCGGTTGTGGCGCGGACGATGAATGTTTCTCAGTCTGTCATAAGCAGGCTATGGTCCAGATACCGTGATACACAATCTGTACAGGACAGACCACGCTCAGGTCGACAACTCAAGCCCAGGATCGATTTATCCGTACCTTGGCCTTGAGAAATCGTGTCATCACAGCAAATCAGATCAGCGCTCGTCTTCAAACAGACACTGGTGTGAGAGTGAGTGGCCAGACGATTCGGAATCGACTGCATAGGGGTCACCTTCGCGCCCGACGTCCTCGCGTGTTCCCTTGTTTGAGGGATCATCACATTCAGGCAAGACGTCGTTGGTGTAGGGATCGTCAACACTGGGTTAATCAACGCTGGAGCAATGTGATGTTTTCAGATGAGTCAAGGTTCACTGTTGATTTTTTGGACAGACGTAGGAGGGTGTGGCGTCGTCGAAACGAGCGCTTCCAAGACGTTAACGTCATCAGACATGATCGATTTGGGGGTGGTTCTGTTATGGTGTGGGGAGGCATCACTGTTGCTGGAAGAACGGCTTTACATGTTGTTGCAGGGCGTGTTACAGGCCAGTACTACCGGGACAACATCTTGGCAGTCCATGTTGTGCCGTTCGCACGACGTCATGGCCGCCGTTTCATCTTCCAGGATGACAACGCAAGATGTCACAGGGCCAGGATCGTTACAGGTTATCTCCAACAACAGAACATCACCACATTACCTTGGCCAGCACTGAGTCCCGACCTCTCCCCCATCGAGCATGTCTGGGACATGCTTGGACAGAGGTTACGTCAACGTCAACAACGTCCTGCCAATGTCCAAGAACTTGCTGCTGCTTTGCAACAGGAATGGGACAATCTGGACCAAAATGACCTTAGACGTCTCATTAGGAGTATGCCACGTCGGATCAATGCTTGTTTGGCAAACAGAGGAGGATTTACCCGTTACTGACTTGGTTGTGATGCTGTGGTAACTTTGCTGTTTGACCCCGGGTATCATTTTACCCTTATAATGGTCAGTCTGTGCCTTACTTAGTCTAACGATCATTTGGAATAAATCGATGAATGTGAACTTCATTTCATTTTGTCATTTGTATCTTCGTCAGTTTCATTAGGTGACTTTAATAACACTTAAAAATCAAATATCCCCTACTTTTTTTGAATAGTATATATGGAAAAAAGGCAACACTCATGAAGGCATAGAGTGTGCCATTATACTTCCTCAGTTTGGCATTTGATAAAGATGATATCCAACCCCTTTATGTTTGAATGTAGTTCAACTCAGAAAGTCCTTAACATCTCTTTCAGGATGTAAACAAATTGAAAATTGAAGCAACTAAACTGTGAAATGGGATTGCGACCATCTTATTTAAATTATCTTAATTAGGATGCAGTTTCTCGATATCTTAACACGGCTTTCCATCAGATATGCATTTAAGGCCCTTTCCTTAGAAACGTGTAATCAGAAGGGATGGTCAGTTTGGTCTTGGTTTTAATTGTTTGTGTTTTTATCTAAACAGAAAACATGAGCTGTCCAGTGGGTTACTACAAATGTCTGAACAGTTATTGTGTACACGTGTCATTGGTGTGCAATGGGAAAGCAGATTGTCGGGACAACCAGGATGAATATAACTGTGGTAAGTACGTATTATAATGTTGCGTTGTTGACACTTGACCTTTGTCTGGAGTATCATTAACGGGCGTTAAATAAAAGGACACGGGCATAGGCAGACGCAAATAAACATCTTTGGCCCAAAGTAGTAAAGTTATTGACACTTTCGCTTACCTCAGCATCACTGGTTTTTGGTTGTTTAGTCACAATGCGCTTTGAATATTTGTTTTTATACCTTGTTTTATATCTGGAATATGCAGAACCTTTCCCCAATCATTTCCACGCTAGAGTGTTTTCTTAAATATAGCGATATTATTTTAAAGTCTTACCGTGCCCAACACGTGGGAAGAGCAATAACCTCTTGGTTTGGTTTACATTAGTTAGTGTGAAATGTTTGGGAATTGTTGTATGAAAATAATATATATATATATTAATACTACTACGGTTTTAACTTAATACAGCTATTGATATATATATATATGTATTATTTTGATACAGCAATTCCCAAATATATATATATTAAAGTCATAATTCAGAATATTTGATTATCTATTATCTAAATAATCAAATGATATATTATATTTTCGCCTTTTAAAAAAATATATATATTTTCTTGATTTTTAGGTAATTATTCTTGTCCCGGATTTTTTAGATGCGAGGGATCTGATATCTGTCTTGATGCTCCGCAAATTTGTGACAATATTAAGGACTGCCCCAAGGGTGATGATGAAATACTCTGTGACTTCCCTTGTCCAGAGTCCTGCACATGCGTTGTTGGCACTGTAAGATGTCTCGGTGAAGACCTGGAGGACAAACTTAAACCGCTGTCCCGTGATACAAAGTATCTGAAATTAAATCATAATTTCATTGATCTTCAAAAGCTAAATTTCGACAAATTTCCGTTATTGGTGGAACTTCATCTGTCTGATTCAAAGATTGGCGATATTCCACAAAAGAAGTTCAGATATCTGTTTAACCTGTACGTCTTAGACTTGAGTTATAACAAAATTCGGGTTCTCACCGAGGGAGCATTCTACGGTTTACATAAGTTGAAGTCCTTAAATCTAATCGGCAATACAGTTCTTGAAACCGTTGAAGCTGGTGCATTTCAACATCTCGGAGCTCTACCTACGCTAAGTTTAGTGGACACAAAAATTAACACGTTAAAAGCTGGTACGTTTAAAGGTATGCTTAATCTACAGGATTTAACAACATCACCTGGGATTCTAAGGATCGTTGAAGATGGTGCTTTTGAATCATTGAAAAGTCTTAGAAAATTGGATCTCAGAAATCAATTTATCGAAGAATTTTCTGGCGGTATCTTTTCAGGGATGTCCAAATTAGAACATTTGTTCACCGATTCGTTTCTGCTTTGCTGTTTGAAACCAGAGTCTGTGAAGGAATGCGTTCCAGGGGCAGGAGAATTCTCATCGTGTGATGATCTCATGCGAAGAGAAGAACTTAGGGTTTTTATGTGGATATTTGGACTATCGGCTTTGATTGGAAACTTAAGCGTCATCTTGTATCGGGTTATATTTGACACTGATGGATTCAAACGGGGCTATGGACAATTTGTAACAAATCTTGGGATTTCTGATTTCTGCATGGGTATCTACATGTTGATTATTGCTAGCGCTGATATAATATTCCGTGGAAGATATATCTGGAATGATCCCTGGTGGCGAAACAGTCCATATTGTCAGTTAGCTGGAGTATTAGCTACTATTTCCAGTGAAGCGTCGGCCCTTTTTCTGTGTGTAATCACCGTGGACCGTTTCTTAAACATAAAGTATCCTTTTGGACAATTTAAGATCAGTAAACGGGCGTCATTGGTAATATCATGCTGCATTTGGATAATTTCAATAATTATAGCCGTGGTGCCGATTCTTCCCGGAACTGGCTTTGCTGGCACACTTTACAAAAGAACAGGTGAGGTAGTACTACATTAGACAGGGTAAGCTATAAGAAATACGTTAATGTTTGGTTCAAAAGTTCATACACCCTAAATAAACAAGTTTTATGTTACTTTTTCATTTCAGTGTGACACTAATGGTTACATTGAGATTGTTGCAGCTCTCCACGTATCTTCCGATTAGTACCAACATAGTTCTTATAGAGGCACTGTGGTTTTGACTATACACTGCTAAATTTTTATTTATTTTAAAGGAATATGCTTGGCTTTACCATTAACAAGAGAAAGAACACCAGGATGGGAGTTCTCTGCTGGTATCTTCATTTTCTTCAACTTATTTACATTTCTTTTAATTTGTGTGGGACAGTTGTTAATATACTGGGCCATGGTCAAAACCAGTTCTATTGTCCAGAGTAAAGAAAGACGAACCAGAGATGTACAAGTAGCCAAAAAACTGTCTCTTATTGTCCTCACTAATTTTATTTGCTGGTTTCCTATTTGTTGTATGGGTAAGACTTGAAACATTTATCTTATCGATAACTAAAGGAGTTGGTTTGAGATTCATTCGACATTCAGGGACGGACATTTCGCAGCTGAGAGTTTAAAAGAAAGTTTTATTAAACATTTATAATTATTCATGGACAATATACGTAAATTTAATGTTTTAACAACTGTATTTATTATTAAATAATACGTTATTGTAGTTTAATATAAGTTCCTGTATCTTTAATGTATTATATTTTTGTATTTTGTAACTAAAAGGCTTAATGGCATTAAATGGTTTTGAAATTGATAGTGAAGTTTATGCCTGGACAGCGGTATTTATTCTACCTGTAAATTGAACCCACTTCTTTATACGTTGTCGTCAATTTTTGGTAACAGGGTAAGTTTATTATATTTTTGTATTTTGTAACTAAAAGGCTTAATGGCATTAAATGGTTTTGAAATTGATAGTGAAGTTTATGCCTGGACAGCGGTATTTATTCTACCTGTAAATTGAACCCACTTCTTTATACGTTGTCGTCAATTTTTGGTAACAGGGTAAGTTTATTAATTACACAAGGCAAATCATAATTCTATAATGAGTGAAAATTATATTACATTCTTGCTTTATGAAATTCTTGATGTTAAAATTCTGTTTTTTTATGCACTCGTGTTTTATTGTGGGCGTGTATGATCGTTCGTATTATGGTCGGTCTGGCAACCTATCTTTAAGTTGGTATATTTACTCCTCCTTAACATATGGTGCCACTTTTGATTTTGGGACATTAACAAAGACAATAATTGTTTGATAAAAGTCGGGACTGGGGACGTTGCAATTATCCCTTTCTAGACAGAAACACCACAAATACGGAATTATGGAACGCCCTTCCAACATCTCTTTTAAATTGTTTTTGATATTGAACCTAATAAAAGTGTTACATGAAGGTGACACAGTATGTCATCTTCCTACTGTGAAGAAAGAAAGATCACAGACCATCCCGTTTCCCTTCCACCATCACTTTTTCAATTTGTTCTGATATTGACCTGACCTTGATGATACTTATAATGTTGTAAAATTGTAAGTTGGCCATACACAGGACAAAATGTGGTGTAATTGGTGCAAAAAAATGAATAAAATAAATAAAATAACACCATCTTGGTCATCGGTTCATCGTCCTATTGAGTAGTCTTTTACTGTCTGTCTTTTACATATCTTCAATGATATTGGTGTTGTTCTGAAAGGTTTCCGAGTTTTTGTTATTGCTCGTCTATATAAAATTGTCCTACACACTTGTTACTCTACCTACTTACTCGAACGTCGCCCAAGTAAATTAAGTATTGTTCTTCCATTAGTGTGTGTTATAGTTTACGGCTCTATCAAATAAAACCAGATGTCACAAAACGTATTCATATCACATTTTCATCACGCAGTCACCATAATTCAGCTGCAGTCGTGGTCAACATCAAACTATTGAATAACTTTGTTGCGAACATTATCTAGAGTATAGGGCTTACTAATCATGTCGTTGATTTTCTTAATGTTGCCGACGCTGATCGTACATTTTTCGGACACTATTTATTTTGTTATACCAAAGAATACAATTTAAAACAATTCCAGCGGCACATAATGTTCCGGTTTGTATTTTATCTGAATGAATAGAGGTACATAAAAAGATTTTACCCAACACTTACGGGTGGAAATGGCTTGTTTATGTCATCTGCAGAAAATGATATTGTTGCGAAATCTGCAAGTCGTCATGTCTTTGCAAAATCTGAACGGAATTGAACCACATACTTGAAAAGGTTGCCATACAGCCCCAAACTGTGTGCGAATTGAGTGAACGTAGCGCCAACTTTTTACGATCGTGGACGGGCTAGGACTGGAAGGGTGCTCTAGAACTTTGAGCCTGTTCAAAAGTGTGCCCGTCCTGCAATTAAATGGACTGACACTTAAAACGAACAGAATTGCAGTACTACGGATGGAATTGCCGTACTTCGATCCTACTAAGGACGTGTTACAAAGTTACGTGGTCGAGCATTAATTAGCTCAGGTCAAGGCTGTTTGTAGCTCGACCGGGCCTGTTTGCTTTTTGTGTTATAGAAAGTAAATGAAAGGGGATTTAACGGCCTACTGTTCTGCTTCGACTGGGATAATGAAGACGGTTTTTGTTATAGAGGATTTCATTGGCCTTAATCCATTCCACCATACCTTTTTTTTGCTCAGAGCTGAGATGGGTGTGTGCTAGGGACTCCTGCTTCTCTCCATCATCTATTGAGGCAGAGTATGGAGATCTACAGAGTCCCGTGGCAGGCTCACGTGGGATCAGCAACTTGGGCCTAATCTGACTGGTCTTCAGAGGAGCTTGAGCTTGGGGATCTCTTTTAGGAGGCATGATGAAGCACAGGATGCAACTGTAGTACTATATTTGAATATCTTGGTCTGGACAACTAAAAGTGTTGAACGGGAATGAGGAATGGTGAGAATGCGCTGGGTTTTAATTCTCCTCGAATCAGGACGGGATTGCACACGCAATATGAGTACGTTCGAATGCACTACGTACAAGATGGGGACTGACTTTGACTGCTTCGAAATGGCACATTTTTCCTGACTGTGGACGGTGTATACAGACGAGGACTGTTTATGAACGAACTAGGATCGTATTGTACACATTATTTACATGTTCTACCCCGACCACTACCCGTTTTACGATTTGCTAGGACGGGTGAGGCGTTTTTGAGTACTTTTTTTAACTTGTTTTGTGTCATGGGGGCTATAGGACTAATATTCCCTTTATAGATTCAACTGTAGTAGTATTTTAGTTTTATTTAGATTTCCTATGTACGAATTGATTGAAATAAGTTAGATATCGACTATATATCTATTAAAGGAAAGCGGGGTCTGGTCACAACTCTATTCGGATAGAATATTGAAAAGAGGGAGGAATCATTAAAACATAGAATGACTGGAAAATAGTATAACATTGACTTTTACCGTATGGTGACTATTTGTTTTGATATTGTAGAAAATAAAGAAAGCAGCTATACAAGATGCTAAAAAAACGGATATAACAGAGACTGAATCTTCCGGTAACAAAATGTTTATGTGTTTATAACTTTTTGTTTTTCACTTCATCACAATAGCCTAATTTAATAAATGTCGGTGTCTAATTTTGAAAATTAGACACAATCTCTATGATTTAGGCTGTTGTTTTACAAATATTAATAACTCACCAGAATGGGGTTTAGAATCGGGTTTGAGATCAATAATAGCTAACTCTGTCTTTAGAAACTCGGTCCATCGCAGTTGGCCGACACAAGAATTTGTGTTTTTAGAATGATTTTCGATTTTTATACGATTTTCTAGTAATGTTGGGATGGTCATCGTCATTAGACCAACTTGCTGGGTTGGTCACCATCATTATATCAACTTGCCGGGATGGTCACATTCATTATACCAACTTGCTGGGATGGTCACCGTCATTACACCAACTTGCTGGGATGGTCACTATCATTAGACCAACTTGTTGGTCACCGTAATTAGACCAACTTCTTATCAACCATTAACTTCATTCCATTCCTAACCAAATTCCCACAAAAACATCTATGATTATCATTATTATCGTTTAATTTTAAATTTATTTATTGAAGTCATGATACGACGTTTGAAGACACTGTGGGGTCATCGCCATCTTCAGTTTGGTCCAGTAGATCTAAAGGATAATGTAACAACCCTTAAGATGTTGATGAAGTCATCCCATCTCACAGCCAGTGACATACTATGTATTATGGAAATGGCGTTGCATGGACTGGTTGCCGTACACAGTGAACAGTTGTCAATGGAAACCATTAATGAAGATGATATACTGGTTGCAGTGATCAATGGGGTAAAATATTTCAATTTTTTTTATTCATCGTATCCGTGATTCTAGGCCTGACATACCATTGGTCTACATTGGTACAAATCAACGCACACAGAAAAGAACTCTTGAATGAAAAATTAACCATATTTCATTTTATTTCATAGTATATATATACAAATATATTACTCCTAATTATCAAACTTTAAGTACCTAGCTACAGTTAAGCAACTTGTTGTTTTTCATTTCAGAAAATTATGAACGCTAGACTTGTAGGAAAGGTTGTTCTACCTGATCAAGTCACTACAGCCCAATCAGACGATATCTACAATTTAGGAAAACTAGTCGCTAGGGTTCTGAGATCGTATGCCAGCAAAAATCATTCCTAACATTAAATAAATTATTAACATTGAATACAGAGAGCAAATACAAAGCTTTGAAATAGTAAAGAAAAGTACGTTAAAGCTTCATATATTTTGGATTCATATTTATACCAATCCGGGATTCAACCGTGGACTGGACATATTCATTCAAGAGACCAGTGAAAACTATGTATACAGTACCATTTAACCCTTTGTATACTTTATTTCTCGTTTTATTTGTGTCGTTCAAATATGGCTATCAAATTTGTTTTGTGCATTGTAGTATTATAGCTTTTACTCATAATGTAAAGATTAAAGGACAATGTAAAATCGTGGATAATAAATATCTTCTTTGTTTGATTTCTTTGCAAGCCATATTTATTCTGGACACCTCCGGTGTCCTTCTACTTAGAAACCTCTCAACCTAGTGAATGTTATCAATAACTGCATTGGCCGAGAAAGTTCATCTGGATTTTCCGACGTGGTTTCCCCTTGTCAGTGGTGCAGAACGGAGGGCCTGACAAGGACAGCTGTCTAGTCTTCGGATGATACGAAAAACCGAGGACTCGTGTATACATTGGAATGCACGTAAAAGATCCCTTGGCAGTTGGAATTCGATATAAGAGTAGGCGATAAGGGCGCTGCCCGGGCAAAATTTCCCTCATAGCACACTGTATGACGTATGCCCGTCTTCATTAGCCCAGTATAGGAGGAGAACAGTAGGACGTTAAACCCCATTTAATTTCGTTATCCATAACATAAAGCTATCTGTTACTCCTCTCGCTAGCCTGGAGGTCGGGTGTTCGATCCCTGCATTGGCCGAGAAGGTTCATCCAGATTTTCCGGCGTGGTTCTCCCTTGTCAGTGATGCAGGACGGAGAGGCTGGCAAGGAAAGCTGTCTAGTCGTTCGGATGGGACGAAAAACCGAGGTCCAGTGTACACATTGGCGTGCACGTAAAAGATCCCTTGGCAGTTGGAATTAGATATAAGAGTAGGCCGTAGTGCCGCTGTCCGGGCAAAATTTCCCTCATAGCACACTGTATGGCGTATGCCCGTCTTCATTAGCCCAGGTTAGGAGCAGAACAGTAGGACGTTAAACTCCATTTCATTTCTGTTACTCCTATTTATTACTGGCAAGGTATCAATTCGATAGCCAATGTAAAGGGGGTTAACTCTGTAT